CTCTCCTGAGAGCCCCATGCCCATGCTCCTTCTGTCTTCTCAGCCCCTTTCTCCCTCTGCTCACATGGATGCACCAAGGGCAAGCATCTTCCTATCCAGAGATATCTGCCCTTCCATATACTCCTATGTAACCTTGCACTCTCTGACCTCCATTGCTGGAATCCCTTAAGTTAGAAAACCAGAGATGTTTCCATGACTTTTAAGGCTTGTATTGGCAAGGCAGTGAGGAGAAGGGAATGAGGGACCAAGCTCAGAGTTTCTGCCCGACCCCAGATTGCTACTGAGGGCAGTGCCATGGGAAGGTGACCTCCCCACAGGCCTGGGGGCTGTCCCAATGGGAAGACACCATTGAATGCTCAATGTCAGCTCTTCTGTTGCTCTGCTTCTCAGGCAGGATACTGGGCAGATGGAAACTGAGTTTTAAGTTAAAGGATGTGGATAGAACTTCATTCAGTGATTTATGGTCTAGGCCAGGGTTTCCAAAACTGTATAAAGAGCTATTCCTGGCCAAGTTCCTTATTAGTCATATGTGTGAAATGGAAACATCGCTTTGTCAGAAATATACTCCCCCCACCTCCTCCCCAACTGTGTCTATAATCAGGTTCTGGAAATAGCGCTGGGTGTTGGGAAAGAGATTTAAGGGAAGAACGCTTTACTAATAGAACTTGCATCACCCTGGCAGTGGCAACAGTGACCCTGGCAGTGGAAAGGGATGTCGGGGCAGCCAAAACAAGGGGTGAACCAACTTCACGTTGACACTGCCCCCAGAGGTGCTTTTCCATAAATAAACAGATTGTGAATGTTTAATCTTTCTCATTTGTGCTTTTAACTATTCAGCATTCATCCACTCTCTTCTGGTACCCAAGCCCCATTTTCTCCCTTGGGGAATCCCACTCTGTCCTCCGTTCTCAGTCCATGAGATTCCGGTGCAGCCAGCACCACCCAAGCCTTAGCAATCAGTGCAGTCGGTTCTCCCGGGCATGGTGATTAGTTTAGGAACGGGCATCGGATCAATCAGAGCAGATGAGATACCTTGAGATTTTCCATAGGACTTCTGAGAAAGAGACTCACTCTTTTCCTTTGAACCTCAAATCTGAGACGTATAGGGCCTGGAACTGCTGTCATTTTTCTGTCACAGGGAACCTGGGTCTAAAGCCAATGTAACAGAGAACAGAGCTGAGCAATGGGAAATAATCAAGTCCTGATAACATATGAGTTTAGCCCTGAATCCAGTTGTGTCTGATGCTAGCCCTAATTCTGGGCTAGAACAATTGAGACAGATTTTCTGTCCCTGGCAACCAAAGAGCCTTAGTTGACGGTTATTTAAAAGTACGTATAGTTTAGGGGCTGGCCTGGTGGCACAGCGGTTAAGTTCACATGTTCCACTTCGGCGGCCCAGGGTTCGCTGGTTCAGATCCCAGATGCAAACATGGCACCACTTGGCACACCATGCTGTGGTAGGCATCCCACATATAAATTGGAGGAAGATGGGCATGGATGTTAGCTCAGGGCCAGTCTTCCTCAGCAAAAAGAGGATTGGCAGCAGATGTTAGCTTAGGGCTAGTCTTCCTCAAAAAAAAAAAAAAAAAGAAAGCACATATAGTTTAAATGGAACGAAAAGAAAGGAGGCAGGGCCAGCACTAGGCCTGTAATTTGCAAGCACAATCTGTGGCTCAGGTGCACAGACAGAGGCTTACCACACACTTTAATGTCAGGAGAGCGGCACCAGGAGGTACCGAGCCAGGAAGAAGGAGAGCCCCCTACAGGAAATTCCCCCAGCAAGCACCACCTCTTTAGAACTGAAATAACTCAAAGACCAGGCCATTTCCATTGAGTTTAGTTTTTGTTACGCCCCCCTTTGGGTATTTTAAATGCTACTGCTATAGTGAACCCATCATATATGAATTGTAGTTGCCTATAATTTACTCCCTCTCTCTATGAATTAATAAAAAGGTCTATGAATCATAAAATGACTTCTAATTTAATCCTTTTTCCACCTATTTGTATTAGTCAGAGTTCTCCAGAGAAATGGAACCAATAGGATCTATAGATAATGAGAGAGAGAGATTTAAAGGAACTGGCTCATGGGATTACGGGGCTGGCATGCTGAATCCTGCAGGGCAGCAAGCAGCTGGATTCAGGTAAGAGTTGATGTTGCAGTCTTGAATGCAAAGGTTGGACACTCAGGCAGAATTTCTGTGTTGCAATTTGGAGGCAGTATTCCTTCTTCTTTGGGAAGCCTCAGCCTTGGCTTTTAAGTCCCTCAGCTGATTGAATGAGGCCCATCCACATCTCTAGAGGTCATCATACTTAAAATCAACTGATTGGAAATGTTAATCACATCTAAAAAATACCTTCATAGAAACATCTAGACTAGAGTTTGACCAGATAACCAGGCACCATAGCCTAACCAAGCCAGCATATAAAATTAATCATCACACCCAGTTTGAGCCTTTATTCCCACCTGCTTGTCCACATATTAGTGAGGGTTCAGCTTTGGTTTCTCAAGCCAATCCAAGGTGGACACTACAAATACCATGCCCTTGACAAAGCTCTGTTCGTCCTCAGCATAGAGGAAAATCCATGATGCTCACTCAGTTCAGTCTGGACGGAATGCTTTATTATTTCTGTTGCTGTTAAAGTATGTAAATCAGCTCTTATTTACTAAATCTCCCTTGGTTTACTTTTCAGTGTTTGCAGAATTCCCCTCCCAGCCGCCATCCCAGAAAAGCACTTGAGCCCTGCCCACATGGCTGAGGAGGTATCCACTGTGTCCTACTTGACGGCACGCCAGACTTGGGGTGGTGGCGTGAGGCACATTCAGCAGGAGAGAGCTTTCACCTCGTGAGTGTGAGTGCAGCCCATGGGAAAGTCTCATTTGAAGCAGACATGACAAAGGCATTTCACCTGGGGGGTCTGCCAGGGAACCTGACTTGTGGCCCCCCCTAAGAACAAGTTATTACCAATCCCTAAGCTGTCAACTGAAGGGCCTCACCCTCACATCTCATGGTCTGGAAACATCCACTCACACTAATAACCCAGGCACTTATTTTTATTCTCTCCAGTTACCTGCTATAGCTCCATCTTGGCATCCAGCCTGGGGTCACACTCCAGGATGCCTCCTGAAAGCAGCCCCATTCCTGTGGGTATCTATGCCAGGAGGGAATGGCAGGCAGGCAATCAGCAGGTCCTGTTGGTCCATAATACTGGCCTGCCTGCAGCCTTGTGCGAGGTTTTTCTGAGGATGTTCAAGCTTCTATACCTTATGGCTGATGATGCCAGGTCAAAGCCTCTGATGATGCCTACTCACCCCAATTCCTCCATCTCCCAGCCTCCCTCACATGTGACTGGACTCTGGCCAAAGGGATGTGGACAAAAATGATGTCAGCCACTTATAGGGCTGGCCCTTAAAAGCATGTCAGCAACCATCTGGCTCTGTCTTTCCTGACTACAGCAATCCTGATGTCACTAGTTTCAGATGACGTTAACAACTGAGATGTGGGGGGGTCTTTGTTACCGAAGTATGGCCTTTCCCATTCTGACTACTGTAGAGCAAAACAGTGTGCAATCCTCGGATCCGTGACCCTCCTCAGCCCAGTGAGCCATCTCACAGATGGGGGCTGTTCCTCCCCAGGCCTGCTGATGATCAGTGACATGTCTCCCAAACTCCGATGAAACAACCCCGGCATTGGTTGTGCTGATGGTGACCGGTCAAGAGCAGCGTCCTTATATCTACAGCTGCCCAGGATCCACTCTGAGCCCAAATCCCTAAGGAAAGGCTAAAATTGGTGAAATAAGTGAACCAAGGTAGATTTTCCTGAAAAGGCTTTCACAGCTTTGAGCTCGTTTAGAAGGACAGAAAGGATTTCAGGCCCTAAACAGTGCGGAACCCCTTCCATTTTAGTTGAAGCTATCTTCCTGGGGTCCAAAAGACAGAGTCTTATCTGTTGAGAATTCATGCAACTTAAAGTTCCTTCATTACAGAAAGCCTACCAGGCCTGCCACGCAGTGTGACCCATGAATGTGGGTGGGACTGCTTGGTATTTTCATACTGTTGGAAACAGTGGCCTTGTTGATCTCAGAGAGTCCCAGATCAAGCTGATTTCGCTATTTTTAATCTCTCCGGAAACAAGCAAAGAAGAGAGGCCTAATTGCAAACAGACTGAACTTTACATAGGAAATATGTAGGTCCCCCGAGGCACCTAGAAAGTATCTCAAACCCTAACAGCCTCCCTGCCTCCCCCACCCTCCACTCCAGTCTCCAGAGCACGTAGGCCAGGCACCCAGGGAGGCCTGGGGCAGCAGCAGGAATCAGAGTTCAGTCATGACCTTGGACAGGCCAAACCAGCCCAGCCAGCCCCTTGGGCCTGGGGGCAGGGGCCTCACATGAGAAACAGGAAGACATTTTGCCCACAGCTTGAACCATGCCTTTGGGAAGGCTCTTTGTTCTCTGGCTGCCATTATTTTGAGTTTTCTGGTCTTTCTCTATTCTGTGCTTGTCAAATTCCAGGCATGGGGAAGATTTCAAACACCATAATCAAGCCTGTGACTGACACACACACACACACACACACACACACACACACACACACACACATCACCCCCACTGCAATCCTATTTGCCACACAGTCCTGAGATTTGTGGCCAAGTATGGCCCAATGAGAGCTTTATAACAGTTCACATGGCCCCCAGCCTTCCCTGCAAGCTCCAGTATTAAAGTCTCAGCCAGAACCCTGGGCCTTGCTGGCAGCTGTGCTGCTGGGTCACTGTGGGAGGTGGGACAAAGCCCTGTAGCCTGCTGTGCCTCAGTTTCCCTGACTGTCAGTTTGGACAACCATGACCACAGCTAATTCTGAATTGTCTGCCTGCTGGTGGGACCAGGCCCTGGAGGGGGCTCGGATTTATGGCACAGAAGTCCCAGAATGAGTCAAAGAAGAGAGAGACCAAAATAGATCAGGAGCTGCAGGCCCAGAAAGGCAGCCAGAGAAGATTAGACACGCTGCCGAGGGAACCATCCAATGACTTTATTGAGGACTCTTGCTCATAAACAGCCAGCGTGTTATTTTAACTTCCATGGGCCAGGCCGACCCATGCCTGTGATGGGAAGTTTGGGATCCGAGCAGTCCGTGGGCCCTGCTGTTGCCGAGGTCGCCCCAGGAGCTGGGACTCTTCCAAAGGGACTCAGCATGGGGCTCCAGGGCTTGGCGGAATGGCTGGACAGATGGACAGTCTTTGAGTGAGAAAGTCATGGTTATGAGGCAGGGGGAGAGGCAAGTGTCCCCCGTGCTGCAGCTCTACTGGTGGGAATGTCTTTGTTTCTGGGGTGCTTCTGCTGAAAAGCACTTCTTCCCTCACTTTTGCTTCTTGGTCTCATGAATCCGTGTAGGGGGCAGTAGGCCAGGAGCACAGGCACGGAAAGGACCCAGGAACTGCTACCATAGTGCCCAGCAATCCCCAGCAATGGCTTTCCCGCTCACATCCTGACCCCTCACATCCTCTCTGTCATCGCAGAGTCCACCTTGCCCTCCTGGCTATTTGCTCCTTCTAATCCTCCCTTTCACGTGGAGAGCACCTCTAGCAAGTCTGTTCCACCCTTCTCTTCCACTGGAGTGCTTCAGGAAACAATGAAACTCGATCCAAGTTTGCCAGCAGCATTGTCTAAGGCCCGCACTTGCCTGTTTGTAGATAGGGGCTCACAAACATCTCATTTCAACACTGCAGACCCTTTCTTCCCTCTCAGTCTCAGCTCTCGACCACCCATCCATTTCGCACTCATCTCTGCCGGAAATGCTCCCAGCCAAGGCGAGTCAAGCCAAACAGGTGTCTGTGGGCTCACAGACCCTCCAAGGACGAGGGTCTCTTCGGTGGCTACCAGATTGTACCCTGACACCAGCCAGCTCCTGGCATCTGCCACTGGCCCTCCCAAGATGGTAGCCTGTGGAGACACAGTCCAAACCCTTGATCCAGCCTCTTTCCAGTCCAGCCCTGTTGGCAAAATGAAAGTCCCTGCTGAGGAAAGCTAGCCTGGACTGTCGGAGAAGCACCCATGATAACTGGACAGACCTCTTGTCCTGGGTTGCTCAGTGCCTGGGGGCTTACTAGTGAGCCAGTATGAGGAAGGAGGCAGGAGGAGAGGTCCAGGGCAAATGTCAGATTTTTGGATGAGCCATTGCTGGCAACAAATCTTCATCTGGAAAAAAGCACACAGGAGCTTACAGTGAAAAAGCAGCTTCTAAAGCCCTCCATGGTGCAGCCTTATCCTACCACTGCCGCAGTCTGCTCCTCCATGCCTTCCCCCACAGGAGTTCCATCTTGGCCAGACCTACAAACCCAGCCTATATCCTGCTCCATCCCTCCGCTTTGTTCTTGCTCTTTGCATTCCCTTTGCTCACAATTTCTATCGAGATTTCACCCATCTTCTGAAGTCCAGCTCCAAGTACCCTCCCACTACCCTCACCCCTAGCCAAACTTCTAGCAAGTGTGGAGCCCACATCCCCTCTCCTTCTCCACTCATGGCACTTGCTACTCCACACAGTTTACCTCTTTATTGAAGACCATCGCTTATGTTCTTTCGTTCAGATGTGTTGCCTTTTGTCTCCCTGAGTCTGTGTGTCCCCCAACCTTGTCCCAGAATTCTTGCCCCAAGGACTGCCTCCCCAGTCCTCTGAACACTGGAGGGCCTTAGGCAATACTTACAGATTTGATTGGTCATCCAAAATGGAATTTAAGTGATCAGAAAAAGGCACTAGCTGGAAGAATTACAGGAATGTTCAGTGAAACTGAGTGTGAGCCCAGGTGGTCCCTTCTAGGGGCAGTGGTGTAACGGGTTTTCCTTTCTAGGCAGTCCCCTGACAGTCCTGGAATCCCACAGAGGCCCAAGGAAGGTGGTGGTTGGGTGAACAGTGTCTTCAATCAAACAAGACCATAAATGCAAAGCCAGAGAGCTAAACAATGTTAGCTTTACAACTCCAGGTGATGAGAATGGTATTTATAGACTCAGTGACATGTTTGAAGCAGTGAGTCCCAGAGGCTAATATTTTAAGCTGGACATCCTGAGACCCTGACATTCTGTTTTTATTCTCCTCCCCATCCTTCCCTCCCGTAGCCCCTGGAACTTTCCGTGCAATTTGAACAAGAGCATGAAATCTCTATTGTTTCTCAATCCTTATTAGTGCTGGGGAAGGATTTAAAAAGTGCTTTGTGGAAGGATGATTGGTGATGAGTGGAAAACATTCGGAGGCCTCACAATGACATTTGCCATTACACCAAAACTTCCATCAGAGAATTTCAAAATTCTAGGCAGAGAGGAAGGCCTATCTGCCCTCAGAGAACTCCAAGGGCAACAGGGCTAGGAGTAGGAACAGTAAGTCCTTGTTTGCAGATGGACCCATCTGGGCCCAGAGGTCCCAAAGAGTCCAGATACACTGATTCAAGACTTTTCTTTCTCTTGAGCCCATTTTTATATTGGATAAAATTTCCTGAGGCAATCCATAAACAGAGGGCGGGAACCTGAAACTTCGCTATTCGTACAGTCCAACATACAAATGCAGAAATCAGTGTTTTCCCTCAGAGCAATCTAGAAAGTACTAGCCAAAGAACAAATTACAAACAGCTACACAAGCATCAGGGAAGTCCCATAGATGATAAGGGATGGAAAATAACCATGAGCTCATCGTGTTCATCTACCCCTGGGCCTGGACAGCCAGGATGCAGCTTCACAGTCCCCCTTCTGAGGGTGTTTCACCTTTCCCTTGCTTTGCACCGTGAACGGTGTTCTGGATTAATCTCCCATCCATGCCCCCATGGACAGGCAGTGCCTAGAAAATAGAGTTCCTCATGTATGGAAATTAAGTCCAGAACGTTCTCTACTGTGTGTTTTTTTCACTGTAAACACCTCTAGATACTCATCCACAGTCCACTGACCACACTGACTGGTTCTCTGGACAAACCAGCTCTGGCCAAACAGAAACATCAAATCCTGTAGTAACGTCAGGGTCTGAGACCACCTATTGAAAGCTATCGAACGGAAAAAAAGTTGTACCTGTTTTCAGGCTAAGAAAAGCAGACGCCCTGGGCTGGGCAGACAAAGATAATGACTTGAAGACTTTCATCTTCACCAAAGTGAAACACACGCAGTTTTTTCCTCCTAATTACAAAAATAATAAAAGCTCAATGCAAAAAACTTGGAAAATACAAAAAACACAACTGGAAATCTATTGATAGTATTTTGTTGTATTGCCTTCCAATGCTGCTCTATGAATAGTCACCTATATACTAATGTACAGTATACATTATATTGTATATTACATATTATGTCATATAACATATAATTATATAAATGAAGAGGTATATAGAATTCTTTACATATAAGATATGCACTTACTCATATATATTCTTATATATTTATGAAATATATATTTGTATGTTTTATATAAAATTTCATATAAAATATTAGAAGTCATCAATTTTGTCTCTTTATTTTTACTCTAAGGTAACATATATTGATTATAGGGACTCAGAAAATATGCTTGAGCCAAAGGAAAGAGGCGAAATTCACATCTATTCCCACCACTCAGGAAAGCCCACTTTTATTTGCTGTACCCTCTTCCCACTTATTTTAAATGTATACACATAAGTATAAAATGATATGGCAAACTATACAGAAATAACATCATGATATATGTTTTCTTTCATAAGTATGCTGGGATGACACCAATGAGCATCATAAACCATTGTATTTTCCTTTCTGTGTGAGTCATCTCATGCTATGGCTTCCATGGGCCACTGCTCAGCTTGAACGTCCAAGCTGACGTGGGGTTGCTGGAGGCTTTGTGGAAAGAGGATTCCTAAATTTAAAAATTTTCCTCTTACATATGCAAGCCTGGAAGTCTGATAACGGGACCTGACTGTAAGTCACAGTGCGGAAGATATAGTTGGTAGCTGAGGGAAGTTCCTCCAGGTGGGAAGGGGCAGCAGAAAGCTCCTGCAGGCTGGGAGGAGAAGCAGAGGAGAGGGAGATAAGCCAGGCCTTTCCTGCCCCGCTTCCTTGAGACCGTATCTTGAGAACTGGGGGTAGTAATATCTAGAGGGAGTTTGGGGCATCTAAACACATCTGGGTTGAGGCCTTGCTTTCCTGAGATATAATTTGAGGAGATTTCAAGTCTCTTGGGTTTATCTGGCACAGATCCAACATAGTGCCAGGGAAGGGGTTAGAAACGACAGGAAAGTGGCGCCATGTCTAGGCAAATGGACATGGGACAGCATTCGCATTCTCACAGCTTGCTAGGGGTTCCTGATTCCCTCATGGGCCCAGCACAGAAACAGAAGTGCTAAGAAGAGGTCTGGGGTTGGGGCAAAGAGGCCACAGTCGTTCTTAACCTTCTATTTTAAGTCAAGGGAGGAGGTGTTTGGTTAATACACTAACTTCCAAATGCAGTTCAATTCAGGAGCCATTTATCGAGTTCCCACTCCACACAAGGAATGCAAAGATGAGGCCTCGCCCTCAGTGAACTCAATATCTGGAAAGCTGGATTCATTCTATACCACTGTGGTACACACGTTACTAAAAGGCAGATTAAGGTAGGTGCTGGGGAAGCCCAGATACGGGAGCAATTCCACAGACACTCTGCTCCGCATTGGGCTAATGGGCCTCCGAGAGGCTGGCCGAGCATTGTTCCCTCATCCTGGTTCCTGTGCGTTTATTTTCTCCCCCGCCTGCCCTTGAGCCCAGTCACATCCTCTTCTCAATCCTCCATTCCAACCCGCTTTGCACAACCTCTCTTCCACCGGCTGCTTCCGTGAGTCTTTGGGGGTTCATGGTAGCAGCAAACCTGGAGCAGATAGGGCCAGGCCCTGAGGGTCTGCTGAGAAAGTCAGGAAAATGGGCCAGCATAATAGCTGGGGTGGAAAATGGATAATAATACTTATTATTATTATTTACCACTTATAATTAGTCTTACTATGTGCCAGGCACTGGTTTAAGGACTTTACGTATACAGTATGAGCTCAGACATTAACTCACAACTCAAATATATGAGCTCATACTACATATGTACCAACCTAGGAGCTAAGTACAACCAATTCCTCCTTTCAGAGATGAGAAAATATAGGCACAGAGAGGTTAAAGTGACTTGCCCAGAGTCACACAGCTAGTAAGTGGAAGCTGGAACCCTGTCCTGGCAGGCTGTCTCTAGAGCCATACAGTGGGTGACAACTGGGGACACCAAACGCTCTGAGCTGGAATGAGGGAATGGCTGCTTTGGTCTGGGAATGCAGACTGGCCCATGGGGTCCCAGAGAATCTAAAACTATCCATAATAGCTTTCAGAAGATTTCCCAGCAGGTAGGGGATTTACAGCATCTCTGGCTCCTATTTGCAGCTCTGGAAACTGAGGCCCGGGGAGATTAAGGCTACATGGAATGCCTGTAGTTGAAGAGGTAGCTGCAGGAGAGTGGAATTTGCACTGTGTCACACACTATCAGGGGTAGACTCAGTGTCCAGGAGGTGTGCGTGTCTATACCCGCACAGGTGCTTCTGGGGCGAGGCAGAAGCCCCCTGCTGAGGAATACAGGAGGGAAGATATGCTTTGGCTCTCTCCAGTGGCTTTCAAGCAAAAAGCCCCAAGTGCTTTGCGGACGTCCAGCCATGGCTTAGCGCCTGAGTTGCACTGACTGGCTGACAAGGCTCTCTGCCCAGCTTCCAGGGGCCGCGTCTCCACAGGCAGGCAGGCTGGCAGGAGGTCGGAATCAACCAGAAGAGCTCTGCTGCTCTCCAGGGGCCACGTTACCCCGTGGGCTTGCTGAAGTGAGTGGTCCGCGGAGCACCCACAGCCAAAGGCCCCAGGGGGTAATGGCAGACAGGCCTGAGAGATTGACCACGTCCTTTCAATGCTCTATCTCATCCAGCCTTGGCAGTGACCCGGTGAAGGAGCCAGGCATGCTCCTCCCTGTGTCACAGACAAGGAAACTGAGGCTCAAGATCGAAGTTAGAAAACGACATTTCGGGCACCTCAAACTAAATCTCCTGGCTCCTGTTCCAGGCCGGTCTTCATATATCCTATACTGTCTTGAGCACCCACAGCATTTAAAATACCAAGCAGAACGCGGAGCTTTGAGCCTAAATTGGGCCGGCCCGGGGGGACCAGTTCAGGGGGCAGCCTGTGCAGCCAGCGATTGATATATGCAGGCCTGCCCGAAGCCGGATAGACTGTGGCTCCCTGGGTACCCCTACTTGCCCTGCTTCCCCTCCCAGGCCTCTTCACGTCGGACTTGACGCTGTCATACATGCCGCTTCCTGTCCTTGATGTCTCTCCTCCTGCCTCTTCACCATGTCCCTTCCCTCCAACGCCCCCTGGACACTCACCTCCCATAATGAAACCATGACTGTCTCGTGGGAGGAAAATGAGGCCGCCCTCTCTCTTTGTTCTATGGCTCCTCCCAGGAGTCCTCCCGATTGTTCTAAACCCTGTAGTCCTCACCTCTGTGCATCTCGTGACTCCTGTGTCCTTGATTCTCAGCTGTGGCTTCAGCCGTGGTACCCTCCCTACATGTTGAGGCACGTTTGCCATTATTTTGCCCAGGAGAGAAAGCTGTGTTAGACACCATACATGAAGTTACACGAAGTCACAAAGTCACTACAACAGCCTCTGGGTCCAGCTAGGCCGCGATGGTGACAGCCCCAAAGCTTCACCAGGCCCTCCTGAGGCAGTGTCACTGCTCCAGAGCCCCTTTGCAGTTCCCCATGCTGTGCTGATCAGGTGTCATCTGTGTCTACAGAAGCCAAGGTCTTCAGCACGTGTGGCTTTTCCAGCTGTCCTAGAATTGCTCTTCCACGCTGCCCAAATCCCCCTCCTGCGCCTCCACCACCTTCACTGTGCGACGAATACTGGCTCCCTTTCCCCATGCCAGGCTGTGTGCTAAGCACTCACCATGCTTTTTCTCATTAATCCATGCCACCACCTATGGATATTTTTACCCACATTTTACAGATAAGAAAAACGAGGCTCAGAGAGAAGAAATAAGTTGCCTAAGGTTGCATAGCTAATCAGTGGTAGGGGCTGGATTTGAACCAGCATCTTCTTAACCACTGAGCTGGATTGCTCGTTCAGTGTCTGAGGGCTGGTCAGAGGACCAGCTTCAGGGATGCCTTCATGGAGCTCTGCCTCAGGCCTTTGACGACACCCTTCACCACCATGGTTTACCCTCGTGAGACATAAGCCAAATCTGAGTCCAGTGAAGTTGATCAAAAAATGGATTGTTATTTGAAATAGGAAAAAAACGGGAGTGGGGTGACGACACCCTCTTCTTTGAGTAACTACTTACTGAGCACCTTCTGTGTTCCCCGGCACTGTTCTAGGTCCCAGATGAAATAAACAAATGCCCTCATGGAGCTCCCAGTCTAGTAAATTACATGGTATGGCACAGGATGATGAGTGCTAAGAAGAAAGGTAAATCCAGGAGGAAAGAGGAGGAGTCCTGGTGGGTGAGGGCTGCCTCTCTGGCCAGGGAGATGAGGAATGGCCGAGGCCTCTGCTGCCTGGGAGATAGTCCTCCCCAAGGCAGAGTGTGGTGCTGAGGCTGGGAGTGTTTTAGGGGATAGAGGGGTCAGAGGCTGGGCCTCCTCATTTCTGCGGGTGGTGACATAGAGGCCAGGTCTAGAAAGGGAAGTCCACCTGGAGCTCTAGCTGTTGGGGCTAAGAATGGTGCTGTGTGTTGCTGAACGTGACAACGTGTATTGATTCTCTCCATTACCAGTGAGCAAAGAGGCCTTTGTGAAACCTGAGTCCCAGGCTAGCTCTCTTCTGGGCCTCCTCTGCCTCCTCCCTGGCCCTGCCCCCACCTCCTCAGATTGGTTTGGCCTAAAACCACGCAGAGTAATTTTACCCAAACCTAAAAAATATAAGTAGAAAAGTAAATATGTTAGTCAAAAGAGTTTTATTCTGCATTTCAAAATCAAATGTAAATAATTTTAAAACATCATGGTTTCTCCCTCCCTTGAAATGAACATTTACGACGGCCTCCTGAGGACCAGGTCCTTGCCACCTATTATCTCATTTAAACCAACCCTCACCACAAACTTGTGACCTAGGCATTATCATCCCCATTCTCTAGGTTTAAAAAAAACCCCAAGTATTATGTTAAGTGAAATAAGCGAGATAGAGAAAGACAATCTCTGTATGACTCCACTCATATGTGGAAGTTAAACACGTGGACAAAGAGAACAGATTAGTGGTTACCGGGGGAAAAGGGGCATAGGGGGTGGGCACAAAGGGTGAAGTGGTGCACCTATAATATGACTGACAAATAAAAGTGTACAACTGAAATTTCACAAGGTTGTAAACTATCATAATCTCAATAAAAAGTAAAAAACAAAAACCCAAGGCTTAAAAAGGTAAAGTTACCGTACCGAAGTTATATAAATGACAAGCTTAGGTTTTTAACCCAGGTGTGACTGCCCCAAACGTCTGTGCCATTTCTGTTTCTCCATCAAGACCGAACTTGGCCATTTATGTAGAAAGAGTAATCTTGGGCAAACTAGTTAACCACCCATTGCCTCAGTTTCCCATTTGTAAATGGGTATGATGGTGATAGGTAATTTACCCATTTACCCCACAGTTCTTTCTGATGGTCATATGAGCTCATGCGTAAGAAGGCTGTAGAACTGTAAGGCGCTGTGAATATACGATATTAATCCTCACCTTGAATTTAGAAGTCATCATGGCTTTTTTTTCACTATCTAACTTTGTTGATACAGTAGTACAATTTAGCCTATCTGGTTTATTTTCCACATGCCCATCCTGATGGGCTGGTCTCTGGCTGCTGGCCCTAAATTGTATCATCTGTGCTGCTGTCTTCCCAGCGCTTAGTATCTCCTATTCCATGGCTGTCCCCCCGACATGCTCCTTACTGGTGAGTTCTACCTATACTACAATGTTCTTTCTCTGGGACCCCAAGGAGGTAGTCCATATACACTCCAGTGTGCTGGTAAATGTTTGATAATCAGCTTTCCAAGTGTAGAATTGACATAAGTGTTGGTTGATTATTGCATTTACAATAATAAGTAAGAAAAAGTAAAACAACAAATACCTATTTCAGAACTTCATTTTTCAATGACAGGAGCGACTTCTTTGCTGAATTGGATAACCGTTTTTGAATCCTGGAAGAATAGTTCCTTGACTCTGTGTTATTCACAATGTCGTTGCAAAAGATATGGCACACGTTTATGTTTAATCTACTTGATTAACATGTTCTCTACCACTTTCTTAAGTCTAGACAAGCAACAAAACAATAAATCAAACCCTGAATCGTAGAGTTTGCCAACTTCTGTGGTGTAAATACTCTTACCACGGCTGATTTCAACCTACCTGACGTGCAATTACTGAGTGTGGAATTGGGAAGAGGTTCACAGCAGCGTCCCACTGTGTGGTATTCCCACCGTAGAGACATAATGGGCGTACAAATCAAGAGCATAGATAATAGTAAACTGTAGCAGAATGATTACAATGTGATCTTTTTTTAGTATTTAATACCTTTGTTGTTAATATAATTTATTTAATTGCAAGTTTATGCAATTTAATTTTTCATAATGGCTGTGTTTACCGACTGGATCACAAAATTCCTGAAAATTTAACCATCAGCCTTCACAAGCCAGTGCAAGCCAGCTCCAGCACACCACTGTCACTTCCCCTCTTCCTAGCAGCCTCCATGGGCCTCATGCCATCTGATGGCCACACCCTTCGCTGAACAGCTCCTGCTAGTCCAGTCCACATGAATCAAGGGAGCATTATTCAACGCTCAGCTTCTCCAAATAAGCAATGTCGACGGCTTCAGTCCAGTGGAGTGACTTAATGATCTGTTTCCTTCAATAAACTATGATTTCTGAGCTTAACTCAGATACCTGAGCGTCACTGTGAGTGAGAGGGAGGCCAGGAGGCGTTCATGATGTAATATACTGGGTTTAAACTCCGCAAGCTGAGGGCATTGTGAGAAACGGATTTTCTTAGCCGATTTTAGGAGTTTGGGGTGTTTTTTTAAGCATTAAGCCAAGGCAAAAAATAACCCTTGCAACACATCACTTCACAGCTGGTCGGCCTGGGAGAAGCTATTCTGGGATATCCAAGCTAAGGTGCCTCTTTAAACTCCAGGCGAAATGGAATCAGGATGTGGGGTTTCTATTCCTGTCTGTGTCGCGGACTTGCTGTGTAATCCCTGGCCAGTTAGTTCCCTGACTGGTGCCTCAGTTTACCCTCTGGCAAAATCAAGTCAACTTCCCTTGCCGAGGACATTAGACTTGAGCTATGAGGAGTAAAAAAGATAGTTGCTATGGTTTACTGGAGGGTTTGGAGTGTCCACTCAAGGAGTCCTTGGTCATGGAGACTCTAGGAGGAGCTAAGTTGTAGATGGAATCTTAAAAGAAATGACAAATGAGCAAGGTTTAACAGAGAGGAGCAGGAAGAGGAACCGACGGAAGGTAAAGGAGGAGGGGGGGCCTCCAACCAACATCCAGTAAAAATGTTGGGCCAGGGGCCAGAGTAGACTGTGTCTGGTATTCACCTCTCTAGGGCAGAGTACACGCCAAAAAATGAATTCATAACAGAAGAAAAGGCAGGCACAATGAGGTTAGCGGAGCCTTTTGTCTGGGTTCGATGAGACAGTTTCCTGAAAGGAACATGATCGAAGTTCTGATTCTGAGACCTGCGTGGAAGATGACTAGGGTGTGGGCAAAGTTGGAGGCCAGATCAGCCTCAAAAACACCCCTGCAATATTGCATCCTGGGTCACCGTATGAGTACCCTCGCCCCTGCACATCAGTTGGCATCATAGTTCTCATGGAACAAGCCCCTCTCATCTGTTGAATGCTTGCTTGAGCCCACCCTTTGGATGAAGGAGCATTAGAAGTGATCACTGCATACTTCTTTGTAGCTCCCCCCACGCCTTGGACTGCTATCGTCTCACTTTTCTTGCCAGCAACCTAGGCAGGAGGAGATGCTATCCTTGTCTTAACATCAGAGACCTACAGATCTTAAATGACTTGCTCCATTTCACAATCAAGGCTCCAACCCATCACCTGGCCACAAATCTTGTGCCTCATCTACACCAATCTGTCTCTATCAAAGCTAAGTCGCTAGTCAATTTTTCCCATCCACAGGCCATATACCTTTTGAAACGAAAAGCTTGTTGATCTCTAGGAAAGTTAAAAGGCCAGCTCCAGCTGTTGAACGCTACAAGCTAGCGAAAGTCTCTTCCAAAAGTTCTATGGGAAGCCTGAGGATTCTGAATTCCAAAGCCCTCCAAACGTGGATTTCTTCTGTAAAGAGACAGTTCCCCCGTTTAGAACATACCCTTCCTCGTTAAGCTAGTTCCATGTTTTGTAATAACTTTTGCTTACACCACAAAATTGCCGTAGATTATGGAAATGCATAGGCCTTGGGAAAAAAAAGGCCCTGAGGCCCCTGGAAGTCATTATTCCTTCCTTTAGCAATTGCTGAGTTAAGCACTAAAAATATGGTTCCCATCTTGCTCCCTTCCCCCACCACGTGCACGCGCGCACGCACACACACACACTCACACTCACACACACGATCTGTTGGACATATGTTCAGAAGAAAACAGGGATGTGGGGGTGGGAGAAGAAGATTCACATGTCATGAGTCAAGGGCTTGAGCATTTGAAAAGAAAAAGTGGAAGAGGGTGTGGACTCACGGCCCTGGCAATGGAGTATCCCAGGATTTATTGCCTTTGAGTATCTCTCAAGGCAATTTTTTTAATAAAAATCTGTAGCTTATGGCATTTTTTTTTTTTTTTGGTATAGCACAGTAAACAAGAACTCTGAAAGGGGAAGGAAGCCAGGAGAAAGCCAGCTCCATTAGTCACGCAGCTGCATATCCTGTCACAAAGGACCCCAGTTGAGTAATCGCCCAAAATATGCCTGTTATTTTTTTTCTGTCAGAAAAAGATGGGGCCTGCCAAATTGTACTGTAAAAAAGAAAAAAACCCTGGTCTCTGAGCCCCAGAGGGGGAAAGGAAAAGAAAGAAGAAACAGGCGTCACTTCTCAGCACTCTTCTAACCCTCTCCCCAACTTATCTTTAAAAGAAAAAGCCTTCAGACTCCCCAGAGCGATGGAGACTGGCCTGACAAAAGCCGGCTCCGTGAGACGTCCCAGGTCTCAGAGTCCTTGCAGTTCTGTGGGGCAAGAGCTTGGAAAGAGGAGGGATGGCAGGAGAGGGTGAGAGGACAGCCCCAAGGGGAGAGGAACAACGGACAGAAAGGGGACCAGGATAACAAGTCCTTTGATGGACTTGAAGTGAGGGAGCTAAATGTCCCACAGGGAAGCTGTGGCAGCCCACACCGGTTCCGTGAGCATTGCGTGAGTCCAGCCAGCGGCCAAGCACGCTGTGTAAGCAAAACCACCATTGTTCCGGGCCTCCATCATGCCCTAGGCTGTTTGGGCCACAGACTGAACAAGAGCTGTGCGGAAGGATGTCTGACCCTGGGGAAGTCTGATGAGCAGGGCCTCGGAAGGACCAGAGCTGCCTACAGTCGCAGGTGTTTTCCTGGATCGGCTTTCCAAACCCCTGGACAACAGGCTCCTGGTGGGGAAACTGAGGCACAGCAAACGTAGGTGTTCAAAAGTCTGCTTCAGTCCTACACTCTCAGTCCCATGGCTCTCAGGACCTTGAAACAAAGGCTGGCCAGTCCAAGCACAGACTCTTAGAAAGTCAGTTTCCCTCCTGCTCACATTCTGATCCAGTCAGGGTTGTCCATGGGGAAGGCAGCTTTCTGAACGGAGCTCACAAAACTATAGCTAGAAGCCTTCCCCTTAAGAAACAGAGCAGAGCCCTACAGGGGAGGCACGGGGCAGGCACACTGTCCCTTTTGCTGCGGGCTCTCTGGAGCCTGTCCTGGAGGAGAGATCCCCAAACCTCCCTCAACTCCACAGGGCCAGGCTGCGGGAAGACCCTTTCCAGGAGCTCCTCCAGACACCGGTGTCCTAACATTTGACTGCTGGGCAATTCTGGGCCACGGGAACTCCTGCCCCGAGGACCAAGTCACTCCCCCTGCCAGTTGCTACAGGAAGGCCCAATTTTACCAAAATCAGGCCCTTCCCAGCTTTTTCAGACCTTTGAGTCCTGCCCACCCTGTCTCAGGCACAGTCTCAAAGCCAGTTCGAGCTTCAAGACGCAACCCCAGCCGCTGCTTCCCCTGGGAGAACTGACACCCAGAGGCGTCCAAAGGAGCCTAAGAGGAGACAGACAACGGCTTCCCGCAGAGAACTGGCCTGTGAGTTGGAAGGACAGAGTCTCCTCCCAGCTTTGTCGCTGACTTGCTGTGGAATTTCAGGCAATGCAAGGGAACTCCCTGTGACTGTGTTTTCCTCTCTTTAAGATTTATCAGCTATGAATCTGAGCTTCTATATGCCTGCAGCATGCAGCGTACTGGGAACTCAGTGGTGAATCACACAGATAGAGTCCCTTTCTTCATGTAAAACCTGGGCAACCTTTTCCAAACCTTCTGCAGCATATGATTTCTTGAGTTTCCTGAAACCAGCTCCTTGGATGGGTGAGTCTGGAGGCTGAGGGATGGGACAGAAACAAACACAACAAAAATAAACACACATCACAATTTTTAAAAATAGAAAAAAAGCAACCAAATACTAATACTAGCATTTCCAAAATGCTTGTAGAGAGAAGATAGTCCCTTAGCAACTGACCATAGTGAAAATTCTGCCAGGGCATCTGGAATTCACTGTTAGACGTTCCAGCTTATTGGGAAATGGAAAGGACCAAGACCACCTGATGACAAACTATATTAACGTCAGTGCCCAACACCCAGGTCATATCAAAGTCCAGTTACTGGACTGACTCACGGGGACTCTCCTTCCTCTGCTCAGCATTAGCTACAGGAAGTACCCAAAGGCTGTTGTCTTCCTGAGGGCTCAGCTTCTTGGTGAGGCCAGGTCCTTCATGTAAACCGTGAGCTGAAATCAGAAATGTCAACACAGGCCGGTTGACTAATGTTCTGGGGCTAATGGGCCTGGCACCTGAGGTGATGCTATTCTCCCCCGAATCGCAGGTGAATGAGGTCTCTGGAGGTGGCACCCCCCACACGGATTTCCCTTTGTGGTAGCAGTGACATCTGAGTCACTGAGCATGTGGCCACCATTTAGCTTCGCCCCCTCCCCTTCCTGTGCCCCAGAAGGGGGCTGGGGGCAGGTCCTCAGAGCAGAGAAGGCTCCACTTCCTCCGAGCTCCTGACAACATTTCTCAGCCGCGTCAGGCCTTGCAAGTCTGCGGTCGACAGGCACCCAGGTGGTGAGGTCTTTCTCACCCCTGTTCTCTCATTAGCTCTTTGATGTTTCTCAGCTGACAAGGTCAGCATCTTCCAGGCTGTGGGGAACATGCCTGCCAGGTACACCTTCCAAGCAGCTGATTAAGACGCCGTGTGGTCTCTGGGCAGAGGAGAGAGTCTAATTGGGGTGCTGAAATGACTCACTAGCTCTGCCCTTGTCCTTTGGGGAACTCTATCCTGTCAGCAAAAGACCTTCAACTGAAGGGTGCGGATGGAGAGCCGAGAGGGAAAAGCTGTAAGTGCCCAACAAACCACATCCCGAGTGAGGTGAGAGGTCAGTGGGCAATTGGACCTGCCAGGGCCCCTGGGTCCTACGTTCCAGGCTCTGGTTAGGAATCAAAACCCAGCAATGTTGCTCCATCGTGCTGGTGAGAAGCGAGCATGAGAGGAAGTCTCACAAGGCCCTCAAAGTCCACTTGCCAGCCTATTACTTGGTACCCTCCCCTCGGAGGCTGGCAGATGATGTAACAAGAGCCTTCGAGCATATGAAGAGTCAGTGCCTTTCAAAGCACTTACTGACCAAGGAAAAATTAACTTCAGGTGCAGCAGGAAAGGTCTGGTACTAAGAATGTCTGGGGTTTTAAGACACTGGAAAAGATTGCCTAATAATGTAATGGGCTCCCTTCCCTGGAAATATCTGAAAATAGGATAAGTACTCTCCCATCTTGGATGGGTCAGCATTGCCTTGAGGTAAGGGGATGATTACATTGACCCATGGAGAGAGCTTGCCAGGAACTTTGAATCTATGAGATGGTACATTTTCATATGAAGAAAAAAAAAGTTTTTATTGTGGTAAAACATACATAATATTACGTTTACCATTTTAACCATTTTTAAGTGTACAGTTCAGTGACATTAAGTATATTCACACCATCCATCTCCAGAACTTTTCCATCTTCCCAAACCGAAGCCCTGCCCCCATTAAACAGCAGCTTTACACACCCCTCTCCCCCCACCCCTGGCAACCCCCATTCTACTTCCTGTCTCTATGATTTGACTACTCTAGGGACCCCATAATAGTGGAATCATACAGTATTTGTCTTTTTGTGTGTGACTGGCTTATTTCTCTTAGCATAGTGTCTTCAAGGTTCGTCCATGTCGTAGCATGTGTCAGAATTTCCTTCCTTTCTAAGGCTGACTAATATTCCATTGGATGTATATGCCGCATCTTTTCTATCCACCTGTGATGGACATTTGGGTTGCTTCCATCTTTGGGCTACTGTGAATAATGCCACTATGAACATGGGTGTACAAATATCTGTTCAAGTCCCCTGCTTTCAATTCTTTTGGGGATATACCCAGAAGTAGAATTGCATGAAGAAAAATTTTAAAAAGACAAAAGCATCGTGCCCCAGGAGAAAAGATGTCAATGTGCTCATATCACCTCCTGTATGGAGAGCAGACACTAAAATACCGAGCTACCCTCAGGCTTAGGTAAAAGGGCTAAGGAAGCGTGGAAGAGGGATCAATCAGGGAGGGCTTCACAGAGGAGATAAAATTTGAGCTGGATTCTGACAGAAGACTAGGATTTTGCCTGGGAGAAAAACAATGGAGAAGGACAGGAAAAGAAGAACCCTTTTTTAAAAAGAGTAGACAAAAATGTTAAAATGAACATGTCCTTTGACCCCGAAACTGCACTGGTAGGAATTTCCCTGAAGATAAACTCATACACATACACCCAAGGTGTATGTCGAAAGACCCTCGCTGCAGCAACGTCTGTAAGACTTAGAAACTGGAAGCAGCGTCCGCACCCATCTCTAGGACACTGGTTAAATCAGCTATGATACAGCCACACTACCAATCAACATGCAACCATCAAAAAGACGAAAGGGGTCTCCAGGTGCTGATGTGGGAGGACTTCTAGACTTATTTTTAATTAAAACAGGAAAATGTCAGTATACACCCAAATTTTTTCCCTGGAAGGATCCAGGAGAAACTGTTAGCAATCATTACCTTTGGGAGGAGCAACTGTGGTTTGAGAGGAGAGAAACTTAAGTTTCCTGTTACACCTTCCTATGCTTTTTCTTTTTTCTAGCCGTGTGCATGTATTGCATTAAAAGAAATGTTAATAGGACTCTCAGGTGTTAGGATTATGGGCCATTTTTTATATTCTGTATGCTTTCCTTATTTAAAGTATTTTAAGGAGGAAAGCAACTATTTTTCTGGAATGGTTTAGTCCCACTGACTCTTAAAGGGGAAAGGACGGAGTAGATGCTTAAAGGGCCAGCCATCTTAGGGATTTCTCTTCGAACTTTGCAAGGATTCCATTCAAGATAGAACGTGTCCTCATATTCTGAAGAGAGAAATGAGGGGCAATGATAAGAGGAATAGGCCAAAAGTCAAGGGAAGCGTGGAGTCAGGGGAGCTCCCAGAACGCCTGCCCAGCCGTCTGGGGGACCTCCAACCCTTCTGCACATCCTGCACCCCCCATGGGTACCCACATCTCTGGGACAGAGACCCAGCCACACAGGGTTAACCCCTGTGCTCTGCTTCGCTGAGTATGGTGAGGAAGAGAGCTGGGGGGCAAGAGCAGAGGGGCCCAGCCCAGCCCGGCTCCAGGCAGCATTAATAAAATGCAGGTGTTTTTACAGTTGCATTACAGAGCAGGGAGGAAAGAGCCTCAACTGCAGCGAGCATATAGAACTAGAGGAACTAGAGAAACAAGAGCCGAGGGTGGTGGGGGAAAATGTGCCTGCGAATAATGAGGAAGCAGTTCGGAAAGAGGGCTGGCTTTGGGTGAGGAGGAATGCAGCAGTTTCTGGCACAGGCCTGCCCTATTCTGTGTGCATGTGTGTATGTGCGTGCGTGTGCGTGTGCGCATGTGTATGTGTGTACACAGGCCCCCTGTTCTCATGCATGCACACACACACACACACACACACACACACACATGACCACCACCACCACCAATCTTTCCTAGCCACACCTCAGACGACACGAACTGGCCTTCACTCGCTTTGACTCGGGATTGGCCCTGACGTTCCACGGCCACCGTGGTTGCCTTTTCTCTCCTGCCTTCCTCTCTGGACTCCACACCCACTCACCTCCCTCTTTTCTGTCTGTTGTCTTTCCCTTTCTGGGGCCTTTGGGGGACTGTATCCCCCCTTGGCCTGCCCCCAGATCTTAATCCCCCTTGGCTCTGCTTCCAAGCAGGCAATTTGTGAGTCTGACTCTCCACCCCTTTCCCAAGCTGCACCTCCCCTGGAGTCGGGGAGTCGGGGGAGAGAGCAAGATGGTGCCTCTGCCTGGGGATTCCAGAAAGCCACAGAGCTGGGTTGGTGTCGCCCAGCTCCTGGTGCTTTAGCTCTGGTGAAATGTCCCCAAGTCATTTAATTTAGCCTGGAGACCAAAGGTGAGAGGTGTGTGGTGACTCAGGCACAGGGGAGCCTGCCCCAAACCCCCAGGGCAGGAAAGGGACTGGAGAACGGCAGCAGCAGCTCTGTGGGGAGCTGGGCCTGCTGAGGGTCCTTTGCCCCTCCTCTCTCACACCCCCCAGGAGGCTGGGAGTGGCAGACGGAAAAATCACTGCTGGGCCCTCAGCTAGCCCTGGGTTAAAAGAGCTCGAGGTGAGTTATTTCTTTGGTCTGTTTAGTTGACTCCTTGTCTGAGACCTGCTAAGGCATGCAGTCGTAAGCATGTTCTGATGAAGGAAAAGGCTTGGGGAGGTCGGGGTGGACCCTTGAGGCCCTGTTCTGCCCAAGGTGGGCTCGTGTCTGAGTGGGAGGCACAGGTGGAGGTGAAGCTCCTCCCAGGGGATGTGAGTTCTGGATTCCTGCAATGAGGAGGGGTGGGGGCTCAGAAAAGGCCCCTTCACTGGCTGCGAAGCTTACCCTGTGCGTCCCTGTATGTGAACCCCAGGCCACCAAGCCAGGACCTGCGCCGGGCAAAGGCCAGCCGGGCTGCACAATAAATGTGTTCCCCAGGATTCTGCGCCCCAAGGTCCGAGGGGGGCAGGGGGTGGCAAGAGCTTGTCAGCCGTCCTCTCCCCTGGCCTGTTGAAATGAGAGAACCAAGCTCTAGAGGGTCAGGTTTTCACTTTCTCAGTTCCCATCCTCCACTCCTACCCACCTCTCCCATCAAAAACAAAACAGAACAAAACAAAAAGCAGACAGAGCGGAGCAGGGGTGGATGGGCTGCAATCCAACTGTCTCCCCGCTCATCCCCACCCGTAGCCCAGGGGCGGCCCACACAGCTGTTCACAGGAGGCAGGACCAGCCACCAGTGTAGGTGTCACATTCAGAAGCTCCGGGGAACCCTGCTACAGAGTAACATTACTGGGGCTGCTTGTCACAGGCCCTGAACCGGAGCATTCTGCCTGACAAGACGCAGACTTGTCACCTGTAGGGATACCACTGGGAACCATCCTGAAATCCAAGATGCAGAGTCACCTCACCAGCACCAAGGGGCCTTGGGGCCTTAGGGCCTCTCGTGTCCCCACACCCAGCTTTGCCTCCCTTCTGGGAGTGGGATGGGGGAGCTGTGCATCCTCAGAGCCACACCCCCCATCTGAAAACCACGTGGAGCCCTCAGGCATTATTCCTCCGCACACCCTGTGACGAGGAGTAGACGTTTCTAATGAAGGGCCCAGACCTGAGCCCAGAGGAAACAGGCAAGCTATGCCGCCCGGCTCCCACGGCTCCCACGGAAGGGCTGCAGCCCTGGCCTCTGAAGGCAGGAGCTGCCCCATGAATGGGACACACACTCACTTGAATTCTCAGCTCCTTTCAGGAAATTGCCAAGTTGGCCCTTGGCTTTCTCCTTCCCGGCACCCCACTCTGTTTCCATAGCAACCGCCTCCCCATCCTCGGGAGCCTCTCCCAGTCCTGCCCGCCCCTCCTCTCCACCGCGCTCCGCTCTCATCTGTCTGGGTGGGAAGCCGGATTAGAGTGCGTCAGGGCCAGGGATGCTTTTCCCAGGGCCGCTGAGCCTCCGTGATCCCTTTGCAGCCGCCTGGCCTGGCCCCGGGCTTTTCAAGTGCCCAGACTTAATGACTGGCTCTGGGTTTCCTCCTCTTCCCTTTCTCTGCCTCCAATAAAGCCGGAGAATTAACGCAGGTTTTAAGGGTCCGATTTCCAAGCTGCATATCAAAGGGGGCTTCCCCAAGCTGCTTCTGCATTTCAAAGGGGCTGATTTATCGTTTTCACTTAAATCGGCACATTTTGGGGGAAGAGTTTTACCCAGAGGTCAAACCCTGGAAAAACAAATGGATCCCAGTTCACCCCCTCCTGGAATGCTGTGGGCTATTAGTATATAAACGGCGGGGGAGGGGGAGGCAGGTGACAAAACCGGCCGCCAGCACTCCTCAGCAGCTTGGGGCTGGTCCTGCAGGGCACTAGCCTGGGCCCCAAATCCCTCGTGTTCCCCGAGGGCTGTGTTGTAAGGAAAGGGGGATGCAAGGAAGCATTCCTTCCACAGGCAAGGCCCTAATGTCTGCTTCCTGCTTCCTCGGCCTCTTCTGGGGGCCCAGTCTGCGTGCTGAGCATCTCAGGGCCAGCATTAGCAATTCCAAGTAAAGGGCGCTCACTGCCCCAGGGCCTCTGCCCCTCCCATATGACCCTGGCCCTGTGCTTGCAGATCCAATTCCTTTCTCCAGCTCCCACTGTGAACCTTTGCAGGCACTTCCTATTCCACCTCAGTACAGCCAGGTACAGCCAGGCCACTGAGTCACCGCGCTCCCCTCCCTCCTACCCGCACAGGGAAACCTCGCCCACACCCTTTCTTCCCGCATCCACCCCACACGCACGTACTCACTCTCTGCTTGACTCCTGCCACCGTCCCCACACCGCCTGC